TCCCTACAGCAAGTATGGGATATTTCTTTTTCCTCTCACAGCAAACATATGCCCAAGAAGGGGCAGAAGAGTCCAAATACAATGCCAGATGAAAAGCCTAGAAATAAGTAAGGACAACTTTTATATAAGAACCCTCGGGACCAGCAGTTAGCATAATTGGCTATGTCGCTGGACTCCCATGTAGTCGACCGTGGTTCGCGTCCCGGACCCAGTGGCTTAAAACTCACGCCGGGTGCGTGTGCATGCATGCCCAAGATCCCAAGAGGAGAATGGAGGAAAAAGGATTGAGGCGTGGCCATCCCCCCTGGAGGGTGATTTCTCACTTTCTATCTCTCTGTCTGTCTCTGTCTGTCTGGCGAGTGCACGCGCCTTATAGCAAAAACCTCTAAAAAAAGAAAAGAAGCCTCAAGGGTATGTACCTTCTTGCCCTCTATTCCCTCATAACCATAACCTGGTAGCCTGCTAAAATGTCAGTTCACTTATAATCGGTTTGCTGGTGTTTCTTCATAAGGTTGTAGGAAAAATAAAAATAAAAATGTCTGAATCATTTCTCTCATGATGTCCCCAACTCTCCACTTACCTCCAGCTGGGACATGGTAAGAAAGGCTCTTCTACACTTCTAACATTCAATCCTAACTCACAGTGGCTTTTTGAAAGCAGTGGGAAGACAGAGGAAGTAGCAAGTTGGCATTCAGGTTCTACATTCTCTCTAAAAGTGTAGTTCCCCCAACCCCCAAACCCTAAAATTCTCCCATAATATTTGGGATAAACTAAATATATACAACCTTTTTATAATTGGTGGTGGTGATTAGAGTCATTTAAAAAAATGTTCTTTGGGACCAGCAGATGAAGTAATGGTTAAATGGCTGGACTTCCACGTAGTTAAACGTGGTTTGTGTCCCAAACCAGGCAGTTTGAAACTCACACTGGGCATGTGTGCGTGTGTGCCCAAAATTCCAAGAGGAGAATGGCGGAGAAGGGATTGGGTATAGCCATCCCCTGTGGGGAGTGATTTCTCATTTTCTGTCTCTCTGACTCTGTCTTTCCAGTGAGTGCAGGCACCCAATAGCAAAAATATCTTTTAAAAAAAAAGTTTTTTACTTATAGAGATATAGGGCAAATTACTATACTAAATTTTAATTCTTACTTTCAAGCAAGGAGAGAGATGGTAAGACCTCTCTTTTAGAAGCAGTATAAGTGGGGGATACCAATGTGATATAGCTTGAGGTCAAAAAGTAAAAAAAGGCTATCCAAATATAGAAGCAGCTAAGGTATTAAACACTGATTAGAGGAGAAAAACTGCATCCAAAAAGAGCTATTGAGCTTAGGAAGCTTCTCTAAATATTGACAAAAATAGAGAAGTAATGTGGGGCTGGCAGGTGGCATGGTAGTTAAGGGTGCTGGACTCCCACATGGCTGACCACGGTTTGAGTCCCAGACCTGGCAGCTTGCTTTCTCTCTTTCTCTCTCTCTCTCTCTCTCTCTCTCTCTCTCTCTCTCTCTCTGTCCTTCTCTGGTCAAATTAAAATAAAATCAAGTTAAATAAAAATAATTATTTAAAAAATAGAGAAAAAATGAACAGAAAGCAGATGCCAAAACATCATTTGACTCCTATCCTTTGTACTGCTGTAACACAATTTATTGTATCTGGGGATTTTGAATAACAAGAAAGATAGGTTCATTTTATAGAAAGAAAAAAAGATATAGGTTTCATGATCTTGATAGATACCTCTTCTGCCTTTTTGTACTCCTATTTTGAAGGCTTTCCCTCTCTTTCTCTTTCTTCCTCCCTAGACACAGTATCTCATTATGTTGTCCAGGCTGGTCTTGAACTCTTAATCCTCCTGCCTCAGCTTCCCAAGTAGCTGAGACTACAGGCACACCCCACCATGCCCAGTGTGGTTAGTCTTTTTTTTTTTTGAGACAAAATGACATCCTAAAGAAATTTTAGGAAGAAAAAAGTGAATAATGTGGGGCAGTTGGAAAAGCTTAAATAAAGTCCATGCAAATCCTATGAGTTTGGGGAATTAATCATCATAGGATCAAAAGTAAACTAGGCTTTGTGTTCGTGGCTTATGTTTGACAAATCCACTTTCCTGAAGCTCCAGGTGAGATGTCTCAAGGGTATATTTCTTCCCAGCATTAGATTTTATCTTACTGTCAGTGTTACTCACTGTCCTCTTCTGCCATTTCTTGATTGGAACTAGTTCTTTTCATACTTTCTATAGCTGTTCATGGAAAACAGTTTTCATCAACAACATGGTCTCTCTGATCTATAAGCTTATAATAAATGAGTCCAAAATCAGTATCTATCACCAATCAATAGCCTTGTCACTGCCTACTTTACTAGCTCTCCCTGGAATGTCTGAATTAAAATAAAACGTAGCTTTGCCAAAGAGAAGACAGGGAATTATCAAGCTTGTGGTCTTTTTCTACCCTTCCTCTGTTTCTTTTACCCACAACCTAATGCTCATAATAATTACCCTGATTCTGCAGTTCATCCAAGTCCATGAAGCGGCTGGGAAGAGGGTTAAACCCTTTAGCTGCCTCTAATTCCTTCTCCCGTTTCCTTCGAAGCTCCTGTTCCTGGGCCCTTCTGGCCACCTCTTCCTGCAACTCATCCAGTTCACTTTTAGAGGGTACCTCTCCACCTGGGATATAAGCAAGGGAGAAGGTAAGTCACTGCATTTCCATAACCAAGAATATGTACTGCTCAATTTATGACCCCTGCACAGCTTTTCCCTTTGGAAATCCTGGCTTCAATTTGGAGTTCTTGTTTTGGATAGTGCACTTCATATAAGATTCAGGATGAGACCTGGGCCATGAATAATAATATAACAGCAATAAAGGCAATAACAGAAACAACAAATATTATTGAGTACTTAATAACAAAACAACAGAACATCTTAAATTTGTTGAATATTTACTGTGTGCCAAGAACAGTATGAAGTACTTTTACATATATTATTGTATTTAATTATCAAAACAACCTCTGGGGTAGATAATCTTTTTTTTAACCACTGTATACCATTATAGCTTTTAAAGTGAATATGACCAGCAAGAATAAACTGCATATTAGTTCAGTTAAAGGTACTATCATATATGTCATCAACAGATAACCTTCCATTTTTGTGTCCCTTACATGTTTTGCTTCTTTCTTTTTTCTCTTTATTTCCTTCCTCTCATCCTTCCCCATTTCCCACCCTCCTCCCACACTGTCTCTAGCATCTACAATTGTTCTCCATGCTTTTATATCTTCCAGTCTTTCATTTTCTGCCATACAGTGCAGACATTCAACATATATTAGGAGAGGACATACAATGTCTCTCTTTCATGAGGTAGATAATATTCCTACCTCTAATTTAGGAATGAGGACACTGAATCAAAAAATAATTTGTCCAAGGTAATACAGATGGCCAACAATGCAACTGAATTAAAGTCAGTAGATAAAATTCATAATCCATTCTCTCTTCCTTTTTAGAGTACCATTTATAAGGCACTGCCAATTACTCATTGGGGAGGTTCAAGCAAGTCATTTTTCACACTTAATGTCCACCATCTCTTTAATGAATTTGTGAAATAGCCACAGTGGTGAAAATTCAACTTTATACCTTTTTGTAGACAGATCCAAAAAGACTTAGAAGGATGATCATGATAAGTGAAAAATTGCATAAGAGAATAATATGTGTAGCATGGTTTCATTTTAAAAGAAAAATGGTTGGGACCGTCAGGTGGCATGGTGTTTAAGGATGCTGGACTCCCACATCACTGACCAGGGTTCAAGTCCTACAGTGGCTTGCTTTCTCGCTTTCCTTCTTTCTCTCTGTTTCTCTCACTCTGTCCCTCTCTGGTCAAATTAAAATAAATAAAAAAACAAAGTTAAATAAAATAATTCTTAAAAGAAAAAGAAAAAGAAAAATGGTGGTGACCCATATATATGTACATAATCATATCTATGTTCTTGTGTAAACATAGAAACAGATGTAGAAAGATACACACATAATGGCAACAATGGTTCCTCCAATTTCAGGATACAAAAGGCAGGTTATTGAGCCATTGGACTTGACTTACTTCTGTAGTTCTTTAAAAGAGTAATCAAAATCATTAGACAAAAATGTTTGCTCTGTGTCCTAATAAAACAATTGGATCAAACTGTGGAGCATAAACAGGGTTTATTATATAAGGAGGATAGTAAGTAAGGAATATGGTAACTGAGGAATATGGTATGTGAGGAATGCTGAGGAGTCATGAACATTTTATAAACTGAGAAATCCTGTTGGTTAGATTCCATCCAGCTAGTTCAGAATCAATGACTATTAAGCAAGTCATAAGACTCAGTCTTTTTTTGAGGGGAAGAGGTTTTTGCCATAGGGCATGTGTGCTTGCCAGACAGACAGAGAGAGACAGAGAGACAGAAAGCGAGAAATCACCCCCTGGGGGGATGGTCATGCCGCAATCCCTTCTAATCCATTCTCTTGGGAACGCACGCACACGCACCCGGCGTGAGTTTTAAGCCACCGGGTCCGGGATGCGAACCATGGTCGACTATGTGGGAGTCCAGCGACATAACCATTACACCAACTGCTGGTCCCAAGACTCAGTCTTTAGTGTACTGGAAAGCTATCAGCTATATAAAGAGAAAGTGGAACAGGCTCATACATGATCACAAGTTTCTCAAAACAATTTTAGTTTATATGAAATAAGTTAAAATGTGGAAAATAGGGACCAGCAGATGGTGTAATGGTTACATTGCTGGATTCCCATATGGTGGACTCTTCTTGCTTCTAATAAGGACTTTTTCCATAGTAAAAAACATTAAGGCAAGCCATGTTGCAGAACGAAAAATAGACAAATCCAAAGATGGAGTGACTCAAATGCCTCTACACTTACATTCTAATGGAATACTCCAAATGCAACTGCTCTCTTATTTCAAATGTACTCAGGTGAGGCTGTTACCCAAAGAGAATTGGTCAAATTCAGTCCCCTGAATCTTGTGTTTTGTTGCTTACCTGAGAGGGGCTGACTCTTTGCCCAGCCACTTACGGATGCTGTGGAGTCAACCTCTAGGATGCTACTGCTATGAGACTTTGGGATATGACGCCAGGAAGGAACCAATCCAGCTGATCTCTTAGTGCTTGGATCCCTTCAAAAGAGAACCCAGAGTCTAGTGAAGGCAGCAGAAGAGTGGTTACTAGCAACATTCCTAAGAACTGAATTCCCTCAATAAAGCATCAAGCTAATATAATTAAAGTTTCTGCTAACCTATTTCTGAGAAACATGAAATATACACTCATCCCCCCATCTGATCTCACCTATTTGACTTCTTGTATGTCTAGCGTACAGTAAGCCATTCAAAATCTACAGAATGAATCAATGAGCATATGCTCTCAAATGTACTTCCATCCTCTTTCTTAGCAAATTTGCATAGAATCTTTTTTTAAAGAATTACTTATTTATTTATTTAATTCTACTTGTTGTTATTATTATTATTTTAATTTTACCAGAGACAGAGAGAGAGAGAGAAAGGGAAAGGGAAGTGCACGCGGCCAGGTCCAGGACTCGAACCACAGTTGGCCATGTGGGAATCCAGCACCTTTGGCCACCATTCCACCTGCCAGTCCCTAGAATGTTATGAGTAAAACAAAACAGGTTCCTGTGGCTACAGAAGAATAGTGGAAAGTATGAAGATGTGACTTGTAGACAATATAGACACTCCTTTCAAAGCAGTTATATTGCTAGGAAAATTGACTTCGTGGCCACTCAATAAAAACAATGTACGAAAACTTGAAATTTATAAAGCAAACTGAACCCTATGGGGAAGGTGCAATAAGCTACATTATAGTGTTATCACTGCAGCCAGTCCCATAGTCCAGTGGTTAAAAGAGCCAGAACTCATATAGCCATCTATGGTTCAAATCTCTGCCACAGTAGCTTGAAAACTATGCTCAAGAATGTGTGTGCATTCCCAAAATCATGACTAGATAGGAAAATGAAAAGAAGGGATTGTGGCATGACTTTGTTACATCAGAAGAAGTAATTCTCTCTCTCTCTCCATCCCTCTGGCAAGTACACATGCCTCATGGCAACTTAAAAAAAAGTGTTGGGGCTGGCAGGTGGTATGGTGGTTAGGGGTGCTGAACTCCCACATGGCCAACCACAGTTCAAGTCCTGGACCTGGTGACTTGTTTTCTCACTCCTCCCCCCCTCTGTATGTCAAATTGGAAAATAATAATAATAATAATAAAAGTTAAAATAATTCTTTAAAAAAGTGTCATCATTATCTTATGGGATTATGAGTACTGCTGAATTCATAAAACATAAAATCCTCAGTAACCCCACCCCCAAAAAAAACAAAAACAAAAACAGTTGAGCTTCTCCTCTAATTTTAGAATTTTTAAAAAATAATAATAATTTTATTTTATTTATCTTTTTTGTTTTAACTTTGCTACAGGTAACATGCACTCACCACAGAGAAAGAGAGAGAGGGAGAAAGTGAGAAAGCAAGTCGCCAGGTCTGGGATATGAATCATGGTCGGCCATGTGGGAGTCCACTACCTTAACCATCACACTACTTTCTGGCCCTAGGATTAAATAATTTTTTATTTACTAATTCATTCTTTCATTAAAAGTTATTTACTGGGCCTGATGTGGAGGTTAAGGTGCTAGATCCCACATAGCCAATTGCATAGTCCCGGACCCAGGAGCTTGAAAATCACACTGAGTGTTGTGAGCATGTGTGCCAAAAATCCTGAGAAGAGACTAGAGAAGCGACTACAATGTGAGTCCCTCCTTCTTGGGAGATGATTTCTCACCTTCTCTCTCTCTGTCTCTCTGCCTCTCTCTGGCAAGCACATGTGTGCCCTATAAGGAAACTAAAAAACTAAAAAAAAAGTTATTTCCTAAACAATTATTTTATGAATAATATTTGCATTAAAAAATTTCACGGAGCCAGCAGGTGGCATGGTGGTTAAGGGCTCTGGACTCCCACATGCGTGGCCAACTGCGGTTCAAGTCTCAGACCTGGCAGTTTGCTTTCTTACTTTCCCTCTCTCTCTTGCTCTCACTCTCACTCTGTCCCTTTCTGGTCAAATTAAAATAAACAAATAAATAAATAAAGTTAAGTAAAATAATTCTTTAAAAATATAAAAGTTTTTCTCTCCAGGGACCAGCAGATAGTGTAAAGATTATATCGCTGGACTCCCATGTAGTCGACCATGGTTTGAGTTCCAGAACCAGAAGCTTAAACCTCACACCGGGTGCATGCCCAAAATACTGAGAAGAGACTGGAGGAGAAGGGATTATGGCATGGCCATCCCCCATGGGGGGAGAATTTCGCTTTCTGTCTCTCTGTCTCTCTCTGTCTCTCAGGCGAGTACACACACCCTATAGTAAAAACCTCTCAAAAAAAAGTGTTCTCCCTTTTCTCAAATGCCTTTGTGCTTCCAACCAGCAGGGGGTGCTGATGCTACATAAAGTTGATAGTACATAAAAAACATAAAGCCCATCTCCCCAGTTGTCTAAGACAAAAGCCCAAAAGGTGGCTGCAAGGGACAATACTTCTATTCAAAGGTCAAAAATACCTGCAAACATTTGAGCTGTCTGGCAGGGCTGCATCCAGGCTGACAGGGCTGCTGCTGTTCCTCTCACTGCTCTCATAGCCAGATTCCATTCGTTGGATCAGGCGAGGGTGCTGCTCTAAGAGGTGAGAGCCTGGCCGCACTGGGCCCCAGGGCTTGAACTGGGACCTTGATCCACCAGTTTTAATGTCATAAGCAGGCAGCTTGCTAAGCTCATCTGGTGTAATTTCTTTAGCTATTCAAAACAAAGAACAAATATGGAAAATAAGGTAAATTTAGCATTTGTTTAAAATTAAGACCTAACCCCTCTTCTAGCTATTCCTTCACTGAGGAAGTCAGTGAAGCCTCAAAAAGTCCAACATCAGAGTTAATTATAAATCAACCTTATTCAAAAGCCCAATTCTTCTCTAATTATTTCCTCACCTGAATCCTCAGAAAAGGGGCTAAGCTGGGTGTAGCCACAGTGCTTCCTTTTGTCCTTACTAAAGATACTGTCAATATTCAGAGACTCTCTTTTAGGTCTCCAGGTCGGACGGTACTTGCTGGAAGAACTGGATTTCGACTCACTACTGGTACTTTCTACTTCCCAGTCACGACAGTGCAAAGGCAGGGTCTTTGGGGGTTTTTTCTCAGGCTGGTCTCCTCCCCTCCCTCCAGAGGGAAACCCTACAGTGGTCTGAGAAGCCAGAGATGGTCTGTTATGGATCATATTGCTGACTGTTTCTTTAAAATCCCTTAGCCTGTTGGTGCTGTTGGAGAGTTTGGAGGTGTTCCTAGGAGCCTGCTTCTCCTTCAGTGTTTCTCCTAAAAATACAAAGAATGAAACAAACATAGATGTTTAAAGTCATCATAGAATCCAGACCCCCAAAGTCTACTAGCAAGAAAAAGCCTTTTGAGAAGAAAGGAGAAGCCAACAGTCTGGAGTGTGAGAAAAGCCTGATCAAATGAATAGAGAAAGAAAAGCAATGCAGAGCAGCTTGCCTTCACTGTGGTACCCTGAGGCCTGCGGCTCATCGCCTTTCCTCCTAATCCGGCCAGAGCTCCTCTTCCGTTCTATCAAGGACCCTTTCTTGGATGTCTGCTTCTGATTACATTCACTATCAGTCAGGTGTCCTGAAAGAACAAGGAAATGAGACTAAGCTGGAAGCTAAGACTGACCTCAGTCCTCTTGAGAATACTAGTCACAAGTACCACAAATTTAAGTGTACCCATGGATCAGAAGTAGTAGCAGCCAAGACTGTCTGATGTAAGTGTATTAATCAGTAGATAAATGCAGAGAAATTCAAGTATTTAATGGGAACTTCCACATTGACAATGTCTCCTGAGCAATTAGCATTCTCAATTCCATTCAAAATCTTTCCCTTTGGGAACCAGGAGTTAGTGTAATGGCTATGTCGCTGAACTCCCACGTAGTCGACCGCGGTTCACGTCCCGGACCCGGTGGCTTAAAGCTCACGCCAGGCGCGTGTGCGTGCGTGCCCAAGATCCCGAGGAGAATGGAGAAGGGATTGCGGCGTGACCATCCCCCCTGGGGGGTGATTTCTCGCTTTCTATCTCTCTGTCTCTCTCTGTCTGTCTGGCGAGCGCACGCGCCCTATAGTGAAAAACCTCTCAAAAAAAAAAAAATCTTTCCCTTTGAAGGACAAAGGACACACCACTTGGTAATTTTTCAAGTCAAGGGTTTGGCAAAAGTTTTGTACCCATATATTTTCACTCTCGTAAATTGGAGACAGTATTCCTTGTATATATTTAGTAACACATAGCAAGTAAAGCCTGATTTTAGTACATATAATATTATCCCAGGTGCCCCATCTTTTGCTCACAAAAAACTCTGATTGTATATGGGTTTAAAATTTAGTCCTAAACATTCCTTAAATGAGGAATATTATTTAAAAGGACTTCTTGGGGGCCAGCGTGTGGCATGTGGAGGTTAAGGTAGCTGGATCCCACATGGCCAATTGCATGGTTCGAGTTCTAGACCCAGAAGCATGAAAAACAATCTGGGTATGTGTGTGGGTGCCCACAATTCCGAGAGGAAAATGGAGGAGAAGGGATTGTGGTGTGGCCAAACCCCGCTCCCCATGAGCACACATGCCCTATAGCAAACTAAAATAAAAGGGCTTCTCAGGTCAGCAGGTGACGTGGAAGTTAAGGAACAAATGGATCCTACATAGCCAACTGTGCTGTTCTAGTCTCAGAAACCAGGGGCTTGAAACTCATCGCGGGCAAGATTGTGGTATGACCATCTCCCTGGGGGATAATTTCTCACTTTCCTTCTCTTTCTATCACTCTTTGTCTCCCTCTGGGGAGCACAAATCCCCTATAGCAAAAACTAAAAAAATTAAAGGACTTCTCAAACTTTGAATAATTCTCATTCTTATCTCCATCCCACATTTTGCCATACTTAGTTTTCAACACAGATTACATGCCATAGTTCCTCAATACCAATTAGTGGTAAACTCAAAAAAGCTGTTTTTTTGTTTTTTTTTTTTTTTTAATGTAACTTGCCCTGCTTCATGTCCATGCTATGCAAAAGTATGAGTATGATTTGATAACAGAAAGGGTCAGGTACTAAAGGATATAATTAACTAAGCTGCTGGAAGCTAGAATTAAGTTTGAAGACGGGTTTAGAGAAAACCCTGTAGGTTCTCAAATGAACCAACAACAGAAATGTTTTCATGTTAGTTTATAAAAATTCTTGTATATATTGGGAACCAGCAGTTAGCGTAATGGCTATGTCGCTGGATTCCTATGTAGTCAACCGCGGTTCACGTCCCGGACCCGGTGGCTTAAAACTCACGCCGGGTGCGTGTGCGTGCGTGCCCAAGATCCCGAGAGGAGAATAGAGGAGAAGGGATTGCGGCGTGACCATCCCCCCTGGGGGGTGATTTCTTGCTTTCTGTCTCTCTGTCTCTCTCTGTCTGTCTGGCGAGCGCACGCGCCCTATAGCGGAAACCTCTCCAAAAAAAAAAAAAATTCTTGTATATATTCAGGTATCAACAATGTAGTCATATGGATACATACCTTCAATCAATTGCCTCATGCAAAGTTTTATTGCTTTTATCTGTTCCTTTGCTACCTCTGGACACACAAGATAGATTTAAAAAAAATAAGGAAATAACTTGGGACGTCTAAACCCTACCAAAAAAATAATAAATAAAATGAATGGGCATGCTTCTTCCACCTCACACATAAAACTCTTTAACATAAACCTCACTTTCCTAGAAAATATGCCTAGTTTATCCTGTGCCTTGGCTCCTCCCTGGTTCACAGTTTCAGAAACACAGTCTAAAAACTCATACCTGACACTGTCTCTGCAGTAGTCACCATAAGAAATCCAACATGGGGCCAGTAGGTGGCACGGTGGTTAAGGTGCTAGACTCATACATGGCCCACTGAGGTTCCAGGCCCTGACCTTGCAGCTTGAACATCATGTCATACGCATGTGTGCATGCGTGCCCAAAATCCAGAAATGAGAATGGAAGAGAAGCGACTACAACGTGACCATCCCCCTGGGGCATGATTCCTAACTTTCCCTCTTTCTGTCTCTCTCTGGCAAGTGCAGACACATTATGACAAAACCCCACACACACCAAAAAAAAAAAAAAAAAGAAAGAAAGAAATGTAAAAGGACTTACTGCCTCATCACAATATGCTCAGTTTAGATGGAATCAAATAAGCAAACTATTTTTAAATTATGACATTTGTAAGAAAATTGGATATTTAAACACTCATTAGTTATTTAGTGCTTTTAATGGAATTATCATTATTGTTTTTAAGTATAATAATGGCATGTTTAAAAAATGATTTTCTTGGGACCACGTTGCTGGACTCCCACACAGTTGACCGTAGTTTGAGATCCAGACCTAGGGGCTTAAAACTCACACCAGGCATGTATGCCCAAGATCCTGAGAGAAGAATGGAGGAAAAGAAATTTCATGTGGCCATCCTCCTAGTGGGTAATTTCTTACTTTGTGTCTCTCAATCTCTCCGGCAAGCCCACATGCAAAAATTTATCTTAAAAAAATGATTTGTTATGCTTTAGAGCAATATGTGTGAAAGTATTTATGAAAGAAGTAGTGTTTTGGGTTTGCTTTAAAATATCAAGGAATGAAGCAGTAAAGATACAGGTAAAACTTGACTGGCTATGAATTATACTTATTCAAACTGGATGATGGATATGTGGAGAGGAAATACACTAGGTCATCAGGAGAGTCATGACATATTTTTCTATGCAAAAATGAGTCATGGTTCTCCTGATAACTCAGTATTATTCCATATACTTTTGAAAATGTTTGAAATTCTTGATTTAAAAGAAAAGACCTCAGGGCTGGCGGGTCACGTGGTGGTTAAGGGCACTGGACTCCCACATGGCCAACTATGGTTTGAGTACCTGGCAGCTTGCTTTCTCACTTTCCCTCTTTCTCTCTCGCTCTTCCTCTGTCCCTCTCTGGTCAAATATAAATAAATAAATAAATAAATAAATAAATAAATAAATAAATAAATAAATAAATAAATAAATAAATAAATAAATAAATAAATAAATAAATAAATAAATAAATAAATAAATAAATAAATAAATAAATAAATAAATAAATAAATAAATAAATAAATAAATAAATAAATAAATAAATAAATAAATAAATAAATAAATAAAATAATTATTAAAAAAAAAATAAAAAGACCTAGAGGGCCAGCAGGTGGCATGGTGGTTAGGGGGCTAGATCCCACCATGGTCAACTGCATGGTTTTAGTCCTGGACCTGGTAGCTTGGGAAACATACCTAGCATGTGCCTAGAGTCCCGAGAGAGATAGAGGAGAAGAAATTGTGGCATGGCCATACACTCTTGGGGGTGATTTCTCACTCTTACTCTCTCTCTCTTTCTCTGTCCAGTGAATACACAGACCCAATAGCAAAAAAAAAAAAAAGAAAGAAAGAAAGAAAGAAAAAGAAAAAAGAAAAAAAAAGAAAAAGAAAAAAGGACCTTGATTTAGTTATGGTGGCAGAGGTAGAGTGTTGCTATGAAATGCTAGAGGTCATATGGGAAGGCTTCAAGTGTGTGCCCTAGGTCTACCTCAACACACCAGGTGCACCTGTCATCCTGGCTGGCTATCATGGCATGAAGACAGCTATCGAGGATGCTTATTTCTCTCTTTCATGAAGGAAATAAATTCGTTTTTTTAAAACATAGGCCACACATAGAGTATAAACTACCAACCTGAAGCCATGAGCTCACTAATTCCCTGAATCCCTTGGCCTTAGGTGTTCTATCACCCATAATGAACTTTTCATTCCAATGGTCATTCACTATTCTTCCTTTTAAGCCTTATTGATTTCTTCCACTGACACAGGCACACTTTCCTTCAGATTAATAAAACAATTCACAAATGTTCTCTTTATTCTTTTGCTTCTCTGTTCTTCAGGAATCCTTCAGACACAAGCTCATAAGCAGGTGTCCATTAACCATAAATATACCCCTTCTCTCAAAGCCCTTGACTCAAACCAGAGCCTGCATTGAGAACATGATGAGCTCCATGACCACATGGGTTTAATGGGACACTAAGAGACAGAGATCAAGAGCAGGAGAAAAGTAGACTTCAGAAAAATCATGTTACAATGATCTTTATTGATATGCTTTCATTGTCAGAAATATGTGCCATAGGGCACCATTATTCATTCAGAACTATGTTGCCTCTTTGTATCCCACCTCAATTTCCCAAATTTTGTGCCTTTCTGCCCCTACGTGGGAAACATTTCTGACTAGCTGCAGTCTCTTTCTTAGGAGACCTTTTATGCACAAATTGAAGCAGGCAGGGTCCTTGGTATAAGTCCCTACCTGTGTCCCGACTGCTCTGAGACGTGGAATCATTCTCCACATTATAGATGACTGTCCCCTGAGAATCAGAAGAGAAGTGACTGACCACAGACTCGTGGTGGCAGTGTTTGTAGGGATAGCTCTCCGTTGAGGAATCTGTTCGAGTGTCACTTGAGATGGAGGGCTCCCTCCCTGAGGGAAGGAGGAGACACATGCAAAAGTAAGAAAGATACAACAGTGACAGAGAGGGAGTAAAGATATGAACATAATGAAGGTCCATAGAGCAAGAACCCTCAGGCAGAAGGGTGAGAATATATACCACAGAACCATTCCTTCCAACATTCAATGTCCAGATAAACCAAACACACATACAATTCCTGTTCCTACCTTGCTGAAGCCCTCACTTTGCCCGCCACTGTGAAAAACTGGAGTTTTTAGAAAACCAATGAGGGGAAATGAAAGAAATGAAAAAATTGTGAAAAGTAAGGTCTATTTGGATGGAAAGTCCGAGGCCAACCTGTCGTATATAACCAATTTTCCCCTATACTGTAATTTGTCTCCTATTCTGCTAGGAATGTCATTTAAATTTTTTAGATTGACATTCTATGCATTTTAATAACTCTGAGAAATTATGGGGCTGTTATATTTATTAGCTTAGTCTACCTGCTTTCCTCAATCTAGCTGAGTTAGCACAACAGGAAAAATAGGTGTTAACTGGAGAGAACCGGAGCAAGTCTGAGTGGAAGAAGGCATCACTGCAAGTATGAGGGAGTGACAAAGGAAGAGAAGGAAGCCTTCTGAAGCCCAGTGTCTGCTCTTTCAAAGTCTACTAAGGGCCAGTTCTAGATCCAGAGGAGTAAAAGACATTTCTTCCTCTTCTTCAAAAGTCAAGCCAAAAACAACAACAACAAAAAAACTCAAGCCCAGGGGCCAGCAGGTGGCATGGTGGTTAAAGGGGCTTGACTCCCACATGGCCGACCATGGTACAAGTCCTGGACTTGGTGGCTTGCTTTCTCATTTTCCCTCTTTTTCTTTCTCTGTCTCTCTCTCTGTTCAAACTGGAAAATAATAAATAAATAAATAAATAAATAAAAGAAGAACAGCTGAGCACATGTGCGCATGCCCAAAGACCCAAGAGGAAAATGGAGAAGGAAGCATTGTGGCATGGCCACTCCTTGGGGGTAATTTCTCACTTATGGCCGACCATGGTCCAAGTCCTGGACTTGGTGGCTTGCTTTCTCATTTTCCCTCTTTTTCTTTCTCTGTCTCTCTCTCTGTTCAAACTGGAAAATAATAAATAAATAAATAAATAAATAAAGTTAAATAAAATAATTATTAAAAAAAAAAAGCCAAGCCAAAACTGTTAGGGTCATTGTTCAAATATATTAACAAGCTTTATGGATTAGCCTAAAACTTTAGCCATCAATTCAAAAATCTTTTCAACAGAAAAACAATTTAAGTTCCAAACAATTGATTTAGAAGTTGGTAACTGATTCATAAGCTAAGGAATAGCACTACTGCACTTGGAATTTTAAAACAAAAATCTCTCATCCCAAACTGCTTAGCTTTGTAGTGACTCAAATTAATTCTCATCTTTACAACTCATTTTTGTCACCATTAAATTACTAATAAATATCAGCCACCCCATCCTTTAGAAGGCTAAATACTGAAGTCTTCCTCACAAAGAAACCTCAGTCCAAACAAATATAATTTCCTTCTCACTTTTGAGTTGGGTCCACGTGATTTCGGCAACACACTCTTGAAGGCTGAAGGAAATGCTGAGCACAAGTTAGGCTTCATCCTAACATAAATGCTGGGCACTTCTTATCTCTAGTGGCTCCTTTCTCCAAGCCAGAGTATAGGCTAAGTGTAAGTATAAATCCCAACTGTCTGACCACATGGGATGAGGGAAAGGAAGAGGTAAAGAGCGAGGCTGCTCACCTGAGTCTTCACTATCATAGCACGTCCTGCTGTATGACTGGAACTCAACTTGGGGAGGCAGGTCCTGGGTGGACACCGGAGTACCCTGGGGATCTGCATAAAGCAGCAGCAAGGGCTGATAATGCCCCTTGATGCATTTGGTCACTACATCCTTCCATTTGGGCCCAATCTGAACCAGAAATAATCAGAAGAACATGACAATATATTTCATATTCAAAACATATCAAACCTGGTTTGATTTTTCTAAAGAAAATAAGCAATAGAAAGGAACTGTGTAATGAAACAACAAAAAGTTCACAGACTTAAACTTACAAATTTTTTGGTTAAATCTCTCTAGAATGCAATAAAATCCTATAGGAGAAAGAATGACTAAAATAACTTTCATTTCTGTGGAACATAAATATAAAATAATGAATTAAGGATGTCAAAGACAAATATTAGCTCTCTTGTTGACCAATTTCTTTTCACAATCATCAGACTAAATCCTTCACTTGAAATTTGTAATTTCATAATTTTCTCTTAAATATTAAGCTGAAGAGCAGACAGAAACTCTATCACAGATTACTTTAGACTAAATAACTTTGAGTTTCAGAGTTCACATATGGCAGGACATGAAACGTCAAGCTGCCTAGAATATACGATTGAATCTTTAGATCTTAGCCATGTGCTAGATTCAGTTCTGTGGAAAAGAATGACAAAATAGCCACAGAAATGACAATCCAAACAAACCCTTGAACTTACTCCATGTGAAGCTTCAGCCAGTCCATTTGTTAATTTTTTTTTTTTCCATTGGCTGAGTGCACTCACCAGAGAGACAGAGAGAGAAAACGTGAGAAATCACCTCCCAGAGGGGATGGCCACACTGCAATCCCTTCTCTTCCACTCTCCTCTTGGGATTTTGGGCAAGCATGCACATGCACCTGGCATGAGTTTCATGCAACCAGGTCCATGACTCGAGGCACAGTCAGCCATGTGAGAGTCCAGCGCCTTAACCACCACACCACTGGCTGGCCCCAGTCAGTCCATTTTTAAATGGTGTGTGCTCTTGGAATTAGCACAGTATTTTGTTCATCATTGATTTTTCAGTAAATTTATAACTGGATTGTCATCTTTTTCCTCCAAGTTTTTGACATAGAGCACATGTATTCGGTGGGAGAGAGACAGTAAGAGAAAAAGTGAGAACTAAACCCTCAGGGGTCATGGTCATGCCACAATCCTTTATCTACCTGGGATTTTGGGCATATACACACACGCACCTAGCGTGAGTTCAAGTTGGGTCCGGGACGTGAACTATAGTCAGTCATGTGGAACTCTAATGCCATAGCCACACTACCTGCTGGCTTGAGTTGTCATTATTTTCATTAAAACACATTTATATGTTTTTCATATACAAATCTTATTTAATACCTTGTAAGACATTTTTTCAAATAAAAACATTAGAGCTCAAATAATTTACTTAAGTTCTGACAAATCACAACAATAGCTAAAAAGAGACAAAGAAAAATGAGGGAATTTTCTTTACTATTTGTGGAAGACACTGCTCAAAAGCCACTGACTGGTATATAGTCAGCAGTTCCATTGGCTACTAACTTTATCAAAAGGGCTTCCTAACTCATGCAGATCACCTAATCCACTTGAGCTACAGATTCTGCAGTATACTACACAGTATCAAGTTTTCTGCTTTAAGTATATAAATATAGCCCCAATGATACTTAAAGCAGGAAACTTGATACTAAGTAGTATACTACAGAGTCTGTGGCTCAAGTATACATAGTAAACTAGTATGTTAGTCCAAAAACCATGTTGATCTGTGATAGGCACTTCAGAGAGATAACAATGGGAGAATAATTTATAGTAATCCTGAAACAAAGTATTACCCCCAATAATTCCAATATTTGGAATTTTGAATTTGTGTTTACCTTATAAACTACTTTGAAGCATCAAATTGTTCTCATTCAAATCAACCAATTAACACATTTTGAGAAGTGTTTTTGTTGGGGGCCAGCAGGTGGTGTGGTAGTTAAGGTACTAGACTCCCACATGGCTGACTGCTGCTCCAGTCCTGGACCTGGTGGGTTGAAAATCACACCAGGAGGGACCAGCAGTTAGCGTAATGGCTATGTCGCTGGACTCCTACGTAGTCGACCGCGGTTCGCGTCCTGGACAGGGTGGGTTAAAACTCACGCTGGGCATGTGTGCGTGCGTGCCCAAGATCCCGAGGGGAGAATGGAGGAGAAGGGATTGCAGTGTGGCCATCCCCCCGGGGGGTGATTTCTTGCTTTCTGTCTCTCTGGTGAGCGCACGCACCTTATAACGAAAACCTCTAAAAAAAAAAAAAAAGAGTGAAAAAAAAAAAAGAAAAAGAAAATCACACCAGGAATGTGTGCATGCATGCCCAAAATCCCATAAGGAGAATGGAGGAGAAGGAACTGCAGTGTGGCCATCTCTCCTGAGGGATTAATTTCACTTTCCCTCTCTCTCTTTCTCTGGCAAGCACATGCTTAAAAATAAATAAAATACTTTGTCACTAAAATACAGAACTGTGCTGAATGACTGGCAAGGGGATTCAGAGAAAATAATAAAAGATATTGAGCCTACCCTCAAGGAACCAGCTATTTACTGGGGAAGACAGAATGACATCCTTCTAAATTTGATAGATTAATTTGTAGCTCTATTACAAAGAGAAAAGTACAAAGTATGTCTTACAGAGGCTTGTCACCATTTAAAATAACAAAAATGAAACACTGAAGACAAATAATGATCTTTGCTTTTTTGTTGTAGTCACCAAATAATTCAAAAAGAGCTTAAATATTCCTACCTCTTTGACATGGGCATCATCAAAATACATCCATTTGCGGATCTTTGTTTGAAAAAAGAATGTAGAATAATGTTTGCCATAGTAACAAATCATTCCTACTAAGTACAGTTCAGACTGCTTAGCCCGGTCATCTGTCACTCTGAAAAACAGCTGTGGGAAAAAGAAAGAAAAGAACCATCACATACTCAATCACCTTACATCATCTCTCAGCAGACTCCATCAACATTTCTTAATTAAAGTATGACTTGCTTCTTCTCCCTTCAGTCTTAGAGATTTTTTTTTTTCTATACCAGATTAATCATCAGAAGTCAACTCAAAAAGGCAAAAAATAGGGAAAAGTAAAACAGATTGTGGTGGGTAAAATGATCAGTAAACCATTCCCTCATACCCTTCAATATTTTCTTACAAGTGCCATCATAAAAGGAGCCAGGAAAGTCAAAAAAGAAAAAGGTTTTTAAGTTTCAAAGATTAATTAACTGGCCCTACAAATATAAATTTCCTACTGAGAACCTAAGTAAAAGATGAGAAACCCATGAGGAAGAAAGAACAAAACAACCACGCTGATTACCAGCATTTCAATTCCTAGTTACCCAAGCACCATCCAAAGTGCTAAGAGACATTTTTTAAAAAGGAAGGAAAAGATTTTGGCCTTGAGAGATTTATCTTGTTGAGAAAATAACCACAAAAATTAAACCTGAACAGTACAGCATATGTAAACTACAAGAATTTAGGAGAAAAAAGGGAAATGTTACTGTGCATGATCACAGTCAGGTCAAATTCCCTGATAAACACATACACACACACAAGAAAAAAAAAGTTACTAAATTTTCTTTCAAATTTCTTCATTACTTTCTCAATAGACATCGGTTCCTGAATGTGAATTTCATATTCTTGGGTTTCTGTCACTACCTTCTATCTCCAGTTCCCATAATAGCTTTTGTAAAGATTACTCACTCCTTGACCTTACTACCTCCTATCGGTAAAAACCCTTCTCTACTTCATACTGGTAATGACCTAACAATCAGTTGGGCATGGAATAGCTATACATTAATCAACTAGTTATCAGTTAAGCTCTGCCCATCCTGTCTTGCAGAGCCAAGATCATCCCATTTGCCTAAAGTCTTTACTACCTACACAAAGGAGGTGTGTGAGCATATACACACATGTACATGTATCTGTATGCATATATGCAAGAACATCTGTCCAAAAATTTACGGTGTTTGTCATCTAGGACACATCTTTCTGTTTACTGCACACTGCCCTTGAGCAATACTAAGACACAAGAACTCTAAGTCAGAGGTAAAGATAACTAACACGCACATCACCCAGCTTAAGGCAGGTGCCCAGGCTGTGGATAACATCCTCTGCCAAGTCTGAGTGGTCTGAGTCCCATACCAGCCCAATTGTGATAATCTGTGGAGCGTTCATCAAAACACGGCGAATCCGGATCCTCTCTCCACAGTTGCTCTGCAATACATATATAAAGCTAGTTCAACATGATTCCTACTGACTCAATCCCATGATTCCAGAGTTCCTATTGCAAACTGCACCAACTTAACTCACCGGACAGTTCCGCAGATCCCCCATAGTGCTGGCATTCTGCAGTAGCTCACCAAACATGCTTGGTGAAGGCTTTTCTCGTCTTTCAAGCATACAAATAGCCTGATTACTTCAAGATGGGGAAACAAAGGGGGATGATGGTGATAGTCATACTGTTATAACTAAATCCAATAATCATTTATGTAACATTCTAACTTACGTTTAACTTTCTTCCTTTGCCCTCTGTATCACAGCACCTTGTCCTAATGAGCCTCAGTGCCCCACAAACACAATAAATGACTCTTCCTGTCCTCAAACCCAGAGTTCATAGAATCCCTAGTCCTCCTCCCACTTTGCTGGCCACAACTGAGCCTCAGAAACAGTGAAAGATAAGAGAGGAAATAAGGATAGCAAATGTTATTTTTAAATTATTGTTCTGGGGCCAGCCCAAGGCATGGTGGTTGAGTCCCAGACCCACAAGTTTGAAAAACATGCTAGCTGTGTGTGCATGTATGACCAAAATCCCAAAAGGAGAGAGAAATGGAGGAAAAGGGATTGTAGTATGAGCATTCCTTATGGAGGGTACTTTCTTGCTTTCTCTCTCTCTGTCTCTGTCTTTCTCCAGTGAGAGCATGTACTCTTGGACAAAACTAAAAAACAAAACAGTAATTGTTCTGTGTTTCTACAATATAGCATAGACTCAGCAATAAGGATACAATACAAGCCTTTGGAGACCCTCTGTTAAAACCTCTTCAACTGAAGAAGTGCCCAAGGGGACAAGACTCACCAAAGGGAAGTGGTGGAGATGTAATGCACCATCTGGATGAAAGGCAGTGGATCAGAAGTGGCGCCACAGCTAGTACACACACACTAGACCAGAAGAAAAAAGCAAATCAGGCAGCCATGGTCATGAAATATTTTGGCACCCATTTAATACCCCACATCCTAGGATAAAGCATTACTGAAGAAAAAGGTCTAAAAAGAGATGATAATAGGGAGGGGTTCACCTGCTCAAACAGTGTCATTGCAAATTTCTGGTGAGAAATGCAGTGTTGGGCAGTACATATATCCTCTTTGGTTTCATCAGCAATATGGAAGTGAATTCTCATCAGGAGGTTTTCCTGACAGGGAAAGAATAAAAGTAGTATACTGACGATACTTAACAGACAAGTGTACCAATTGATAAGCAGTTTACTTTGAGAAACAGCAACCCTCCTAGAAGATAAGAATATTTCTGATTTTTTTAAAACTTTAAAAAATGATTGAATGGTGTCAAAACTAGAAAATGGGACTGGCCCCATAGCTCAGCAGTTAAGAGATCAGGATCCCACATGACTGACCACAGTTCAATTCTAGCTGCAGGGTCTTGACAAACACCCCAGAATAGTATATGCATGACTGCTCAAAATCCTGGTGGATGGGAGAAACGAAAGAAAAGGGACTGTTGCCCTGATGGGGAGTGTTTTCTCTCTCTCTTCCTGTGTCTTCTGGCAATTTGATGGGGAGTGTTTTCTCTCTCTCTTCCTGTAGCAAGCACATATGTCTTCTGGCAATTAAAAAAAAAAGGAAATGGACACTAGTACAATCCAGAGTTTAATCAGCTTTCTCTAGTTTCTCATATGCTTGTGTGTGTGTATATAGCTTTGTGCAATCTGCTATTTCTCTCTGCAAACATGGATGTGCAGGGACCAGCAGTGGCATAATGGCTATGTCACTGAACTCCCACGTAGTCGACTGAGGTTCGAGTCCTGGACCTGGTGGCCTAAACTCACGCTGGGTGCATGTGCATGCATGCACAAGATCCCAAGAGGAGAATGAAGGAGATGGGATTGAGGCATGGCCATCCACCCTGTGGGGTGATTTCTCACTTTCTGATTCTCTGTCTCTCTCTGTCTTTCTGGTGAGCACATGTGCTCTATAGCAAAGAACTCTCCCAAAAAAAATGGATATGCATGTGCACATGCATACATGTATGAGATAGAAAGAAAAAGAACTCCCAATAAGGTCTGATCATGCTTCGATCTTTCTTCTTCCAATTTTCCACCCTCTAGATCCTGGGCATGTGTGCACATACGTGGCATGTTTTTCAAGCCAACAGGGCTCAGACTTGAATCTTGGTCAACCATGTGGGACCTAGCTTCCTCTGCACAGCATCTAACTATTCTCTATGCAATCTTATAACATATATAGAGTATAGAGTCATGTAACCATCACCACAATCAAAATACATAGCAATTCTGTCACCAGAAGGCAACTTCAGGCTACTCCTTTAAAGCTTTACCCATCCAACTCCATCCCTGACTACTATCAACCACTAATCTGATCTCCCATTTTATCATTTTGTTACTTCAGGAATATAATATAAATGAGATTATACAGTGCATAATTTTTTTTTTTTTAAAGAAAGTAATTTTTTTTTTGGAGAGGTTTTTTGCTATAGGGCATGTGCGCTTGCCAGACAGACAGAGAAAGACAGAGAGACAGAAAGCGAGAAATCACCCCCCCGGGGGGGTGGCCACGCCACAATCTCTTCTCCTCCATTCTCCTCTCAGAATCTTGGGCACGCATGCACACCTCCCGGAGTGAGTTTAAGTCACCAGGTCCAGGACTCGAACTGTGGTCGACTACATGGGAATCTAGCGACATAGCCATTAAGCTAACTGTTGGTCCCAAGAAAGCAATTTTTGATATAGGGTATGTGTACCCACTAGAGAGACAGAGAGATACAGAGAGACAGAAAGGGAGAAATCACCCCCCCTGGAGGGGGGTGCACTCTGCTATCCCTTCTCCTCCATTCTCCTCTAGGGATCTTGGGCATACATGCACATGCACCTGGCATGAGTTTGAAGTGCCGAGTCTGGGACTCAAACTGGAGTCTACTATTTGAGAGTCCAGCAATGTAACTATTATGCCATCTGCTAGTCCTGAGTATATACTCTTTCGATATTGCATTTTTCATTCAGCATAATTCCCTTGGGATCTGTCCAAATTGTATTAATATAAATCAATATATTACTTGATTATATAAAAATACCAGTTTGTTGGGGCCAGCGGTGTCG